AAGTTACTCAATTTTGTAACTTATTCTATTTATAATGATACTCAAGTAATAAAATATGTTCTCCATTACCAAAAGCCTATCTATATAAACATACAATATATTTATAGCAGATCACACAAAAAAAACATACAATAAGACTATCTATATAAAAAGCTATGTCAAACCACGTTGACAACCCCCGTAACACCAACTTCAGTAACCCTGTCACATCACAAACCAAAACAAACACATAACATTTCACTATATATAATTATGCATAGGAAACATATTCTATTAAACTTCCTGGAGATCCAAAGCTTGGAGAAGGAAAACCTGAAAATCAAAACCACGCGATAATTTTCACTCGTGATGAAGCTGTTTAAACTATATAAAATCTGGTTAAAGTTTTCTTATTTGGTTGCACTGTTCAATTATTGAATATTTAGATTACTTTCATATTTTAAATTAGCATTTCTATCACTTAATTCCATGTAAAAATGTTTTCTTAATCATATGTTTCTCTTAAAGACTTGAATATATTATAAAGTAGGGTACGTTCTCTACATTTTGTTTAACTTGGCAACATATGTCATTAACCAGACTGTTGTAAATGAACTTCATATTGAGGAAATTAAGTTTATGTAATTTAATCTGATAATTTGAATTTTTGAAGGACAATTATCTTGAGGAAGTAATGAAAATGAGAAATCTTCTGGAGGAGTTTCATGCGAATCATGTTCACCCTCCAAGCATTCTTGGAGTAAGGGAACATGTTTTTACAGGAAGGTTTGGCATTAACTTTTATGCAACAGTAGGGGTTTGCTTAATAGGAGAAAACATGTGTGGAGTTTTTGCATATGGAAGCATTGACATTTGTATCAAATTTCCATTCCTCTATTACCCTCATTCACACTTTCTACTAATCACACAAAATTTATAATAATAGATAGACAAAGAAACAAACAAGTTAAGTTGTTATCTATTTGAAACACCAAATCCACATACCTGAATATGAACTTCCAGAGGTACAGGCCTCACACTTGGCTTGAAATTAAAGAGTCCAGTTTCCTCAACGCCTAACCAGTCAGTTAGATCATTACATATAGAGATTAAACAAAGGAAATATAAGTTAAATTTTCATAAAAGTGGAGAGAAAGTAAATTTACCCAACATCAGCCAATGTTGTAGAAAGGCCAATAAATCTTACTATTGTAACCAATTTTGTAAACTTACCCAGCATTAGCCAATGCTGTAGAAACGCCAATAAATCTTACTATTATAGATTCTCCATCAAGAAACTAGTTTTGTAACCAATTTTTTTTAACTTTTATATTAGTTAATTTTTATTTCCTTTTTTCTTTTTCCTTTTATCGCCTAAGTTTTCTTATGGAGAATCATGTTCAAATAGACCTTTCGTACAATGAAGAGAACACATTGTCTTTACCAAAATGAGTAACATGAGGAGCACAATAGTAGATTATGTCAAGAAGCAGCGCAAAGAACTCACTTGAAGTATTCCTACCGCTGCAAACTTGTCTAGAGTAGTCTTGGAGAGTACTGTATGATTCAAGTTTAAAGGCTTTAACAGCAATTCCACATTCTACAAACAAAGTTCTACTTTACTAACTTTTGTTAAAATACTCTTCATTGAGTCAATAACACAAACATGTGGGCTTCTTCAGATTAAATATACAAGATAACCATAACAAAGTAATTGTAGCACCATTCTATCAACAAAGCAATTGAACCTACCCCGTAGACACAACATGCATAGACAAAACAATGCACCAATACTTACTGTGTCTCGACCAGCACACTAAGAGTCATCGTAACTACTTGATACTATTTTCTGATGGAATAACAAAAGCAAAGTTTAATCCCAGTAGATGGAATCAATTCAAACTACATGAATCACGCAACACTAACCAAAAATGAGTTAGAAACCAAAGCTTGAGGATAAATTCGTACTGGTTACAATAGAAAAGAAAGAAAGAAATTCGCTCATCCACCAACTCAGTATCAGAAGAAATCCAATTTCTTGAAAACATACACAAAAAACTATAAACACTAAAAAGAGACAACACAAACACAAAATAATTTAATAAAATCTGAACCAACATCAACAAACTAAGATAAAATAAAACAGAGAAAGAAATAGCGTATAAGAATGCAAAATCAATTGCTCCTTACAGGCTATGCTAGCTTCCAAGGAGTGCTAAAAAACATTTCAACCAAAAATAATAACTATATCTATTAAAACCAGAAATCACAAGTAAGTAGTCAGTATACACTATAGTTCCATTCATTGCTACTATTGTAACACCGCTACTAATATGTAAGGATTGACATAATGATAACTCTTTCTTCATTCTATGGGTGATGGTGCACACAAATCTCTACTAGCCACATTCCCATAGTTTTTTTTCAAGTTTTTACTTGTGATGTCTTTAGTTTATATTAGTTCATATAAATTTGAAAATGAGTTCTATATGAAATGCCAAAACTTGGCTACATTTGATGGTTTTCTACTTTTCAGGTTTGGTAAAACTCTAAAGATGAATCATTTATTAAAAAAATAAAGAAAGGACGTTCGGAAGTGCGTTTTTGGACGTCATTTGACTCATTTGAAGTCGAAAATGGTAATTTTCATACATTAATTTATGTCGAAAAGGCCTATTCTCAAACATTAAATGACGTCGTAAATGACTATTTTCTAACATCAATTAACCACTGAAAATGACCATTTTTTTTATGTCAATTAATCTCTGAAAATGGTCATTTTGACCTTAATTAACATTTAAAAATCGTCATTTCGACATTAATCAACGTCTCCTACTATGACGACGGTGTTTTTACATATGTCAAAGGTCGGAAATAATAGACGTCAAAACCCTTTTTCCATTAGTGATATAGACCACATGTACCAAGCTTCAAACATATAAATTGAATTTTAAGCCCCCTTATAGAGTTAGTCAGAATGTTTGTAAGCTGTTCACTAGAGTTGAAAAACTCAATAATAAGATCCTTACACTGTAGCTTCTCTTTAACAAAATGATAATACAGTTCTATATGTTTTGGTCTCTCATGAAACACTAAATTGGAGGCAATGAGAAGGGCTATCTGGTTGTCACAATAAAACTTCCTCGGATCATTTTCACAAAATTTCAACTATTGAAGGACTTGTTTCATCCATATAAGTTCACATGTAACTAGAGTCATAGATCGATATTATGTTTTTGCAGTAGATCGAGCAATAACACTTTGTTTTTTAATTTTCCAAGATACAAGGTTCCCTCCAAGGAATACACAATATACTGTGGTAGATCTTTTATCAATTAGCCAATCAACCCAAGTTACATCTCAATACCTTCGACTTGAATACTCCCTTTGTTATCATACAACATTTCTTATTTTGGATTCTCTTTTACATATCGAGAATGTGAATCACAATATTCAAATCATCAATGTGGGGATTTTGCATAAATTAACACACAACTCCCATTGAATAAGAAAGATCAAATCTAGTTACAATAAAGTAGATGATTTTTCTAACCAATCTTCTATATCTCTCTGAATTTGAAAAAATTCACCTTACTCTCATAATTTGAAGATGGAGGATGAAGATGCACACGTGACAGAAATGAATGGTGTAGATGGGTGTAGTAGGATGGTGACACGTGACAAATTTTGATTGGATAGATTTGAAAAAAGATGATGACATGTGACAATTTTTGATTAAACAAATTTGTGTACATGTGACTTATTATAATTGGGGCTTATATTTTAGTGGCCCATTACTTAAGAAGAGGTATATAAGTAACTTCGGAGGTGTAGGACAAATATTTTTTTCCTAATTTACTAAATTGGGCTTAATATGAATATGAATTTTGTCATTACAAAGAAGGAACTAATAATGCATCACTTTGACCTTATTTTAAACGATTGCACGAGTAATAGCGTTATTACCCTTTTGTTGAGGGTTTGTTATTGGCGGTGAGGTCTTGGTTGGCAGTAATGCACTGGAATGGATATGTTATTGGTGATGAAATGGAACACTAAAGGGAATAAATACCTCATATTTATCTCTTTTTTCTTTCAAATTTACTCAAATTTAGTTTTTTAAATTCAAACACAAAGAGTGAGTTTGATAGTTACGTAATTAAATTATAAGTAAATTTCGTTATCACTTTTAAAGCGGTTATTAAAGTTAAAAACTTACTAGAGATTGAATTTTACATAAAAAGTATATAGTTTTCTCTTAATTAACTTTTCTATCTGATTAAATAAGTTGAAAATATTAAATAAAGATGTTTTTCTTTTCGTTATTATCAGTTAGCTTTCGATCTAGCGAATAACATTATGTTCTCGAAAGCTAAAAACAGCTTTTATGATCTAAAAGTTAAACTAAAAGGGAGAGATTATTCTTTTGATATTTTATAATCAAATGCTTTTGAAAAAGGAAGTGGCTGTAGTTTAGTGGTAAGAATTCCACGTTGTGGCCGTGGAGACCTGGGCTCGAATCCCAGCAGCCACATCTATTTTTGTTTTCTAAACAAACAGATCAATATTTTCCTTTTGCTATTTTTATTTATTTATCTATTTGTTCATGTTTCTAAATTATCAAATTCAAAATATAATTTGGAATAATATGAAACTTTTTCAGAATGAAGGAATTCCTTGATGCATTCCATTTGTAGTTTTTTTTTCAAAAGGCAATGCTGAAATCACACTAATTTGCATAAGAACAATCCTTTCAAATATAAAAAGTATATTTCACAAAACACATTCCAGAATATAAAAAATAGAGACATATTTGGGTATAAATCTGGAATTAAAATTTTCAAAATAAGTAAAAAATAGTTCAGGAAGATTTTTGTGAGATATTGGAAGAAGGAGCCTAACAACAGAACAAAATAATCTTAAAATCACTCTATTAAGAACCCAACATTAGACAAGAATACTACATCTTCCAATGCTATAAAATTATGTACATAATGACAAAATAAAGTTCAAAAACACAAACTAAGTAGCTTCCTTCTTGGCCTCTGTGTTCTTTGAAGTTTGAATTAATTGGATCACTCAAACCAAAAAATAGTTAAACAAATAAATGAAAAAGTAAATTATCCTTCCAACTGTTGTGGCAGTACATCCAACCACGATGAATATTTCCATGGCATGAATGCTCCATCATGTGACAAATTCTGCCACCACAAAAATATATAAATCACAATGAAGGGGATGTAACATTTTTAGGCTAACTTTGATTTTCTGATACAATCCACACACAAAAACAGTACATAATTTTATGAAGAGGTTCCACTTTTATGGACTAATGCAAGATTAATGAAGATTATTTGAAGGGATTCACTAGTAAGTATAGAATTAAATCCAATTTACATAAAAAAAATTAACACTATTTTAAAATAAAAAGTTTATAATTCGATCTTTTCTATATATTTTTAACTATTTTATATCTACTAAATGTACAGACTTCTCAATATTTTTATTCAATACAGAATTCAGACTTCGACTTGAATTCTCAATATTTCATAACTACATTGAAATATTTGACGGATATAGATGAAATACTATGAAAAAAAATGTGTATTGAGATGCTGAAATATCATAAGATACTTACTTTCAACCAATAGAAAAATCCACGCATGAGATTCAGAATTCTGGGATGGTCACCATGAGCTGCTTTTATTCTCTTAGCAAGATCTGCAGAACAAGCACACATGTAAGTCTTGCAACACAACATTAAGAAATTAATTAGAATGCACTGGAAATGTAAATGGTTTTAACTTTGCTATTTTGTGTTATGTATATATATCTATATAGTAAAGTTATTGACTTCTATAATAATTACTTTGAATTTCATATTTGAGATGGTTTCTAATTTATTAACAACGTAAAAATCTTAACATTAACAGTGTACAAAATCTGTGTCTGCATTCTGTCATATGATATCCACCCATAACCGTGTGTAAGAAGAATTCTGCTAGTTTGGTAAAATAATTACATATAATGTTGCAAATAATTAAGACATTCTCAAAGTGAATAAAACATAATATGTATGCAGCTTCTTGCAGATTTTCCTTACCCAAGAAAGCAACTAATTCACTGCTTGCTAAAGTACTTTCTCAACATGCTCTGCTTCTAAAATCTAAATATGAACAAGTGACAAAATGAACACTAATACAACTACGACAGATAAAACCACAAAAACTATTGGAAGTTCTTAATTGACTAAGACAGGTTTACATTATATAAGTTGCAAATCTATTTTACAACTTGATTTTGTGGGATACATTTAAGCTTAAAATTCATTACATAACATATAATCATAGTCATGAATTAGAGTCATGAGATAACATAGTATAAGAGTCATAAGTTAGACTCATGAATTAAAGTCTATCTTAAAGGACTTGAGATGTAACCACAAAATTTCCATAACATGATGCAAACACAGAAAGTGGAATGTAAAACAGAAGAGCCATATCTTACTTACCAAGATTACAATCAAGATAAGACTTTCCAAGACGAGGTTCATCATAGATTATGATACCTCCACGCAGGTCTCTGTGGCGTTGGACTGGCTTTCTAACAGTAATGATGTGTAAAAGCCTCTTGTACTCTTCCTCACAGAAAGGAGCCTTAAGTTCTGCCATGAGTTTTTCTTCGAAAAGTGTAGTTGCCTTGCCTTTATGATACTCTTGCCAACAATGTTCCACCTTCAACAGGGAAGCAACAGATAACATATACAGCTAAGAAAAACTAAGTTAACAGTATCATCATAAGCAAAAGCATAAGGAAAAAGGAAAAAACTCATGATTTTGGATACATACAATCTGACCTGCTGCATCATCACTATCTTTAATTACCAATACTTTTGATATATATTGTTTTTTCATCACCTCAGTCCTGTGTTTATCCTTCATCTTACTTACATGCTTCTCTGTCTCAGAAGTCACATCACTTCTCTTAACATTGCCATCCATAGCAGCACTGAGTTTTGCACCTTTTGGCTTCCTACCCCTACGCTTCACAATATTGCTAATAACATTAGGACTCTTAGAGTTTGCAAGAGAACTCCCATGCATGACTATGTCTAAGCACACATTGACCTTATCATAATCTGTTGTGTAGGTATCTGCACTCTCAGGACTTGATGATTTAGGCTCATACTTTACACAGACACCATCCTCAGGGATCTCTAGTACATAAGATTTTCCATTAGGCCTCACATGATCCATGAAATACTTATGCTGGGGATCCACTATCACACCGTTATCTGTGCCCTTTTCCTCAGCAGTGTTCTCTATGTTAGAGTGCTCAAGATGATGAAGCATCTGAGACTTTACAATGCTGTGTAAACCATCCATGAACTGTACCAATTCTAAGTCAGCCTTCTTATGATCCTCCACAACGAAACACTCCAAAAGGGTATTGAAATAGTCGAACTTTTTAGTTCCACATTTAAGGACCCT